TTGTAAGTTTGTAATGGTAAAGAACGTCTCCCGTTTCACCATACCCCCAGCCCCCGGTCACCACCATTCCACTCTCCAAAACAGAAACCACTTAAGAAAATATAAAAACTTCTAAGATACACCAGCAAGGAACTTCCTTGTGTCTTTTTAGTTTGTCTTTTTAAAAAAAGAATTGTTTTTAAGGTTTATTTATTTATTTTGAGACAGGGAGAGAACAAGGCGGGGAGGGGCAGAGAGAGAGAGAGAATCCCAAGCAGGCTCCGAGCCATCAGCACAGAGCCTCACACAGGGCTCGATCTCATGGACCGCGAGATCAAGACCTGAGCCAGAATCGGGAGTTGGAGGCTTAACCGACTGAGCCACCCAGGCGCCCCTTTAGCCTCTTTTTAAAAATAACAGAATTGGGGCACCTGGGTGGCGCAGTCGGTTAAGCGTCCGACTTCAGCCAGGTCACGATCTCACGGTCCGTGAGTTCGAGCCCCGCGTCGGGCTCTGGGCTGATGGCTCAGAGCCTGGAGCCTGTTTCTGATTCTGTGTCTCCCTCTCTCTCTGCCCCTCCCCCGTTCATGCTCTGTCTCTCTCTGTCCCAAAAATAAATAAACGTTGAAAAAAAAATTAAAATAAAAAAATAACAGAATCGATCACGGATTACGTGAGCTCCTCCGATTTGCCCCATTTTGCCGGGTGGGAAATGGAACCTCAAAAAGGAAGAAGTCCTACGCCCGTCCAATTAGTGACCGCTCTGCAGCTAGCGCCCAGAGGCCCTGAGACCCGGCCTTCGCTGCCATTTCAGATGTGTGTCCGCTGTTGAAAGCGGATCTTTCCAAGGGAGTAGAAGCTCAAGAAGGCACCGCCCGGGGCCCTGAAGTAAAACCACAGCAACTTCCACTCAACACGTGTTCATCTTTGCTTCAGGGCCGTTGAAGTTGTGCAGTGGAGGCTCCCGTGCCGCCCTGAGCCCTGACGTGTGCCTAGTCCTAGCTGAAAACTTTGCCTCTCATCTCAAGGGTTTTTGTGTTGTGTTTGTGTTGCGTTGTGTTTTTGAATCGCCAATTTTTATTTACAAGAGGGCCACAGTCTCTGTTTACCTGCTGATTATGTTCTTGGGGTGAATTATCTATGAATCGCAAGCAGTATTTGTAAGTGCTTCTACCTACAATCGTGTCGTCACAGAAACCCTGCGAGAGAACTAGGAACAAATTTTGCAGATGAAGAGGTAACTCCGGGGAGATGCATTCACTTACTTGCCCACCATCACACATGCTGGAGCCAGGTTCAGAAACCAAGATCAACTGAGCCTTTACTCTTTCAGACCCCTCATAGAAGTCTTCAACTTGCCAATAAAAATCCTATAAAAACCAAAAGTAATTCCCCAGTCAAGGAGCTAAATTCTTAATTGAGAACATACTAGTGGAAAGTGTTTATCCAAGGGATACCAGTATGTGTGCTGTTTCGAAGGGACACATGCACCCCAGTGTTTATAGCAGCACAATCGACAGTAGCCAAAGTATGGAAAGAGCCCAAATGTCCATCGACGGATGAACAGATAAAGAAGATGTGGTCTATATATACAATGGAGTATTACTCGGCAATCAAAAAGAAGGAAATCTTGCCATTTGCAACTACGTCGATGGAACTGGAGAGTATTATGCTAAGTGAAATTAGTCAGTCGGAGAAAGACAAATATCACATGCCTTCATTCATACGGGGACTTTAAGAGACAAAACAGATGAACATAAGGAAAGGGAAGCAAAAAGAATATAAAAACAGGGCGGGGGACAAAACAGAAGAGACTCTTAAATATGGAGAACAAATAGAAGGTTGCTGGAATGGTTGTGGGAGGGGGGATGGCGAAATGGGTCAGGGGCACTAAGGAATCTACTCCTGAAATCATTGTTGCACTCAAGGCTAACTAACTTGGATGCCAATTAAAAAATTATTAAAAAAAAAAGAACATCCTAGTGAATAAGACAGCAGAGCCTGTGACAGCATGCCAGACATACAATAAATGCCACATAACTGTTAACCATTATGATGAGTCACATAGCTTCAAATATTTTTTTAAAAATAGTATAGTATTGAAGATAGCTTCCATTGGTCGTGTACAGCAAGATGAACCCATCTGCCTATATTACGTGGCCGCACCACGTTTTTTTCTCTTTTCTTTTTTAATATTTGGGTTGGTTTCTGGCATTTCCAACTGGGGACGTTTCACATGAATAACCCAACGTACGGCGTCTGTTGGAAAACTGGCACCTCTGGGCTGGGGTTATGGAACCACTGCCCCCGTAAGACAGCGCGAGGCCTCCCCGTTTACCGCAGACTCTCCACCCGCCTGAAGTAAGGCCTGTGGGTTTGCCATTTGTCACTGGTGGTTATGAAGGAGGGCTCCGGAGTGAAATGAGGAGTCTCAGTTCTTTGCAGTGCTGCTGCCCAGCTGGGTGACCTAGAGCAAATAATTTTACCTTTCTAGGTCCATCGCCCGGAACTGTGGTGACCAAATAAAACCATCTGCCTAAAAGCATGGAGCTCAGGGCCCAAGGCGTGGACGGCTTTCAATAAAGGTTAGCTCTTTGCATCACTAGGCGTGGGAAGCAGAAGAATGGCCTCCTGAAGGTGTCCCCATCCTAATCTTGGAACCCGTGCCTAGGGTACCTTGTATGGCAGAAGAAATGCTGCAGATGTGATTAAGGGAAGGGTTTTTATTTATTCATTCATTCATTCATTCATTCATTCATTTTGCTTCAAGAAAGCTTTCTTTCTGAATGCTTGTTTTTACTGATTGATTGATTATTAAATCTATTTATTCTTATTTCTTTCACACGGCAAGCAGGGGAGGGACAGAGAAAGAGGGAGACAGAATCCCAAGCAGGTTCCGTGCCATCAGGGCAGAGCCCCGCGTGGGGCTTGAACTCACGAACTGTGAGATCGTGACCTGAGCCGAAATCAAGAGTCAAACGCCTAACCGACTGAGCCACCCAGGCGCCCCAAGTTGAGGATTTTTAAATGGAGAGATTATCTTTGATGATCCAGATGGGTCCACTGTAACCACAGGGTCCTTGCGAGTGAAAGAGGGAGGCCGGAGGTCAGTGCCAGAGGAGTGAGACGGGAGGGGTTGCAGCAGGGGGGCATGCAGACAGAGGAAGGGGCCGCCAGTCAAGGAATGCACTTGGTCTCTAGAAGCAGGAAAAGCCAAGGAAGTGGGTTCTCCTCTAGAGCCTCCAGAGGGACACAGCTCTGCCAACACCTTGGCCTTAGCCCAGTAAGGCCCCTTGGGGGTCTCCGACTTCCGGAATCATAAAAGAATACATTTTTTCTGTCTTAAGTCACTAATTTCGTGGCCGTTTCTTACAGCAGCAAGAGGAAACTCTACACGAGGCCGTCTCGTCCTCACTGCAATTCCATACGGTCTATTGTCCGCATCCTACAGAAGAAGTGGGGTCGGTAAAGGTTAAGAACATTGCCCCAAGTAGAAAGTGGCAGAGCCCAGAATCAATTCCAGGTCCTCCTGAAACCCAAGCCCGGCCCAACCCAAGTGACTCCCAGTTCTCTGGTCATTCAGCTTCTATTTGAATGATCCCAGAAACAGAAATATCCTTCCTTCCCGAGGCTACTCTTTCAACGGCTGGACAGGATTTACCATGATGTCTTCTGCCCACTGAGCTACTTTCTATGGCACTCGGAAGGAGTTAAGGCGCTTTCAGTTACAAACGCAGAAACCCAGTGGACCTAGCGTAAGTAAGAAGGGGACATTTATAACAAGGACATAGGATATCGCGTGAAGCCCATGTCCAGGAAGGCAGTTAGGCTTTAGGGAGAACTGAAACCAAGAAATGGGAAGCTGGAAAGAATCCGGCCAGGCAAGACCCGCTGTCTTCCACCTCTGCTTCTCGGCATGGCTGCCTCATTCTTTTCTCTCCGTAGATCGATTTTCTCGGCTACTCCGTTGTCGTGTTGGCACATGGCCGCTCAGGTGCCCCAGATTGACACACTACAGGTCCAATTCTATGGACAGACTGCCTGGTAGTACCTCAAGGTAAATCTCAAATTCCCCAGAGACAGAATCCGATACCTCTGGCTTCCAGCAGGCCTCCCTCCCTTGTCTGATCAGCTGTCAGCAGGAAGGCAGGATTGTGATGACCAAACATGGCTGCCAGGGACTTCCCACTTGCAACTGTGGGCTTGGGTGCAAGGGGGAGGGGTGGGGAAAGTGTGAGCTGAGCTGATGCCCTCAAAATGGAGTACCTCCCATTTATCTCCCTAAGGTTCCCCCCCCACACACCCTCCCCCAAAAAACCCAATAAAGATAGCAAAGCAGCTTCAGAGCTTTTGAAAAGCTCTTTCTTCCCTTGTGGTCATCTCCTTTCCTGGGAACCATCCGTAGAACCTTCAGGCATTTCCTCAGTATGACGGTTCCCAGATTACTCAACAACCTGACTATGCCCCCAGCTCCCCCTCAGCCTACACAACTTCGGCAACATCTCCACTCAAACGTGTGATTTGTCTCCATAACTAACGTTGCTTCTTCAAATGTGGGCTGCCTAGCTCATTTCAGTTGTTTTCTTGCTTTACCTTCCTTGAACCCACGAGGCGTATACCGACTCCGTTAATGCAGGCTAAAACTGTTTCCTTGTCAGCTGTATACATCTGGCTCAAATTGAGTTTGTGGCCAGCTAGAAGCCCCAGATCTACTTCCCAGGAACTGCTGTCTGGCCAAGTCTCCCAATTCCCAGACTTAAATAATTGATGCCAGAATCCACATCAATCCCTGGTAAATATTCTCTTGTTTCCTCCAAATCCTTTATTTGACTCTACGGAGACCACTGCGAACCTTGATCCCCTCTTACCAGTTTGTCTGTGTCCTAGAAATTTCACCTATATACCTTAACGGTTTAGTCTCGAAACGAGATCCCAACTAGACCAAAGACATACCAATGGACAGTTCCTAAGCTGCCACGGGCTCCACTAATCAACATCAAATACCCCGAAAATACGCTGCAAGCACTTCGGGAACTTTTATTCCTGGAATGAGAAGGGTGGCAGCCCAAATTCCTCAAATATTTTTGACGTTTAAATTTTATAACGACAGAAAAGATCCAGCATGATTATAATCCAGGGCATCAAGGATATGGGAAAAACTCTGGAAGTCTTTCATTAAAATGAATCATGATAATTATTGAATTTACTTCTCACAGCAACCCAGGAATATGCATATTTCCATTTTATAGGTATGTAACCAAGGTTACACAGAAACAAGTAACCTTGAGATTGGAAGGCAAGCTGTTGATTCATAGCTTCAGTGCTTAATCCCAACCCTAGCGGTGGGCAGGGTCAGTTTTTCCTGTAAAGGGCCAGACAGCAAATATTTTAGGCTTGGGGGACCATACGGTCTCTGCCTTTGCAGAGCGAAAGCAGTTGTAGGCAATACTTTAACAAAGGGGTCTGACTGTGTTCACATAAAACTTTATTTACAAACACAGGCGGTATGCCTCATTTGGCCCTCAGACTGTAGTCTGCCAACCCATGCGAGGGTGTTCTTCCTCCCCAACCTGCCTGGCAAAATCCTGCTCAAATATGCAGCCCCCACATGACCATTAAGTTACTAAACTGGACGTAAATGGGATTCGGCCCGTGGGTCATAGCTGGCTGGCCCATCTCAACCATCATGCCTTCTGACTCGGTAGGTTAATGCATCTCCCTGAAGAACCTTGAGTCAGTGCCTAATGTAGGTCATAGCCAAAGCCAGCAAGACTGACACATGTCAAAATACATAAAGATTCACCAATCTATGTAACACTGCCCTGCACGGCAGTAATTCCTTGTGAGGCTATTTGTTTTAATACCTTTTTCCACAAGTCCCCAGATAAATTTGTAGCCATCCAACACACACACACACACACACACACACACACACACCATGATCTGAGCCCAGCATATGATCTCAGCTTCTTCGTGGCCATGCTGTTCTCCTCTGGCCAGAACGTTTTAGCATTCCCTCACGCACACCTAAGTGCTGCACTGAGCCTGAGTCCTGAGTCACACGCATTTAAAAAAAAAAAAAGTGTTCCACTGGAAATTAGCATGCAAGCAAGTTGCAGGGAAATGGCCCCGGGAAGCAGAGTGAAGAAGCTTGATTCAGGCACGATGGACGTCCTACGGCAGACGTAACCAACCAAGGCACCCGGGAGAGAAGTCACCTGCAATTTTGAAAAGCAAGTGGAAGAAATCAGGACCAGAGCCCTACTAGGAATTTGAGCAACTTGAAAAGAGCCAAGCAGGCCTTTCATGCCGATCGAGAGAAAGCTACCATTTCCAGAGACAGGTCCTCTTGCTAACAGGCAATGCAAGCCCTCCCAACATGGGCTGGGCACTTGGCAGGAAGGGCTATCATACAAGCGTGTGGCCGGCTTACCCTTAACATTTCCCGGTGTAAACAGCTTTCAGGCAAACTGGTGGGTTGCTTTAACCTTTAGAAAAAGAGAAAATACAAACAGTAAAAATGAGCTGGTTCTAATGACATAGAAAGACACGTGTGACAATAACAGAAGCCTAGACATCTTTCGGCAGGTTTACTCATATTTTTTTTTGAATGCTAACGTAAGATTTGTTTATTTGTTGCCCAACAGCCTTTAACAGATGTACCATGGCAGAGCGCTTGAAAAAAACAGGGGGTGGGGCCCCCGGGTGGCTCCTTCAGTTAAGCGTCCAACTCTTGGTTTTGGCCCAGGTCACGGTCTCACGGTTCATGAGACCGAACCCCCGCGCAGAGCCTGCTTGGGATTCTCTTTCCCTCTCTTTCTGCCCCTCCCGGCTCACGCGCACACGTGTCTCTCCGATAGGTTCGGGAAAATAATGGACACCGAGGTTCTTCGTGTCAGCACTGTTCATCACAGACAAGAAAGAAACAACCCAAATACCCCGCAACAGAAAACTGGTTGAATACATTTGACTGTGATCCTATGTGGAATATTCTGCAGCTCTAAAAAAGAAGGAAGGATCCCCTGGGTGGTTCATTCGGTGAAGTGTCCAACTCTTAGTTTCAGCTCAGGTCACAATCTCACGGTTTGTGAGCTCGAGCCCCACGTCAGGCTGTGTGCTGACCGTGCAGATTCTCTCTCTCCCTCCCTGTCTGCCCTTCCCCACGCTCTCTCTCTCTCTCAAAATAAATAAATGAACTTTAAAAAAAATTTTTTTTAATAAAAAACAATTTTAAATAATAAAATCTTAAAAAAACAGGGGCGCCTGGGTGGCTCAGTCGGTTGGGCATCCGACTTCGGCTCAGGTCATGATCTCGCGGTCCGTGAGTTCGAGCCCCGCGTCGGGCTCTGTGCTGGTGGCTCGGAGCCTGGATGAAGCCTGCTTCGGATTCTCTGTCTCCCTCTCTCTCGGCCCCTCCCCTGCTCATACTCTGCCTTTCTCTGTCTCTCAGAAATAAATAAATGTTAAAAAAAAATTTTTTTTTTAATCTGAAAAAAACAAAAACAAAGAGACAGCTCTGAAGGACACCCAGCAAACTCATCAAAAGGAGTCAGAGGATGGGTCCAATGGAAACAGGAATGGGGCTTCTCACTATATTCCTCTTTATACTGTTTTCTTTTCAAACCACGTGGATGTGACAACTATTCCAAAGCTTGAATTGTTTTAAAGAGCTAGCAACGTGTTTACAACCACAATAATTCTCTCTGTAAGAGGGTGTTGCTACCAGATGTCAAAACACTAGTTTTATTTCTCGGCACTAGGTACAAAGTAGATGAAATCCGCTGAATAAGGTGCTGAGAATGGTGTCTCCTGCACAGAATGTAGGGTAAATTGAGGCCATTGATGGTGGCACTCCGTGGTGCTTGATAAGGAGAGGCTTAGAAAGCATTATCATCGTATTGGCTGCGTGTTCACATGGCCTGAAGCAAAGAGATTGAACTTAGATGTCTGACCGCCTTGGGTGGCCTCCAGCTCCAACACCTGTCGGCTGTGTCCCCAGGCAGGTCACGCGGGTTCCGGGGCCTCCGCAGCTCTGTGTGGTGGAGACGGGATCACCTACCATACCGGGTAGGAACGCTCTTTCGCTCCGACAAGTAAACTGCCTACTCATTCCCCGTGCCAGGCGTTGTTTTAGGCCAAGGTAAGACTTCAGATTCTAGACCAGCGTGTCTCCACCGAGACCAGTTTTGCCCCCCCCAGAGGACATTTGGCAATGTCTGGGGACATTTTTAGTTGTCACAAGTCGGGGGGGGGGGTTGAGTGGGGGGCACAGGAGAAGTGCCACTGGGATCTAGTGGGAGGACCCAGCGGGCCACGCAAGCAGCTAAACACCCCACGATACACAGGACGGTCCCTCCAACGAAAAGTTAGCCCGCGCCCCACGTCAGTAGGGCTGAGGCTCGGAGCTCGCTCCGAGAGAAAACAAAGCCAGAGTAAAACAAATAAACGGCAATGCCACGTGTTGTTCGGTCCTCTGTGTTTGGGCTGGGGCAGGGACAGGCCGTGCCACAGAAGGCTCTCGGAGGGCAGGCCAGTGTTGCTGACGGCTAACAGGTACTAGGGAGCCCGGCAAGCCAGTGTCTGGGACAAGGGCTCTTGAGGCTCAAAGAGAAGCAAGGGCAAAGGCCCTGAGGCCAAGACAAGTCTGACTTGTCCAGGAGAGAGGAGGGGCGTGTGGCTCCAAGCGGGAACAGGGGTGGCTGGAATCCGTGTGTCGAGGGAGCAAGGGCCAGACCTCCTGGAGAGAAATTTTCATTTTTTGCCTGAAGTGCAATGGGGACCCATGGAAAGGTTTTCAGCACTGAGCTGGCATGATCTGCTGTGCGTTTTTCAGAGCCGTTAGGGCTGCTCTGTGAGCGATGGATCGAGGAGAGTCAGCACGAAGCAGGTAGGTTGAGAGCGGGTCGCGGTAGTGGGAGCGGAGTGGGGGGGGGACATATTTTTGCAGGTAGAACCCGCTAGATGCTGTCGAGAACTGGAGAATCAAGTGGATAGCTCAGATCCAGCGAGTCACATACGGGAGAAGCCCATAAACACGAGCTCCAATGAACAAAAGGGGACTTTTTTTTTAAATGTTTACTTATTTAAAGAGAGAAAGAACAGGAGGAGGCGGAGGGAGAGGGAGAGAGAGAGAATCCCAAGCAGACTCCACACCGTCCGCGCAGAGCCCAACACGGGGCTTGAACCTACAAACCGTGAGATGGTGACCTGAGCCGAAATCAAGAGTCGGAGGCTTACCCGACTGAGCCACCACCCAGGCGCCCCAAACAAAAGGGGGGTTAATCCCTCAGTTTGAAAATTAAAACTTAGTGAAAATTGCAGTGACAAACGCACCTTCAGATACCCACTTCTGCCCAGTGGCCCCAGGGTGCTGACGGGTCAGGTGAGCTGACAATTTTGACTTGGAAAGTGCCGGGAGAAGGACACTGAGGGTGAATACCGGGGAAAACAAGAAATCTACGAAAGCACCAAAATTGCCCATCTCTGGAAAGTTACAAGGGATGGCTGATGTGCTGAAAACGAAGGAACTATTTCAAGCAAGAAGCTTCTGGAAAACGTGGGTCTCTGTTTAGGAGTCCGGCGCTGGCATAACCAGTTGACCGTCAGCCCCACGGACAAAGGAAGAGCCAAGTCAAACAAGGCATTAACTGTAGTCCACGTCAAGCCGCTTACAAGTGGCCGTTTAAAGATTTTTAAACATAGGAGATATTGTTTATGAAACGTAATCTGATCGCCCAAGCAAAAACGACACAAATTCCATGGCAACTGTGGAGATTAAGGAAGTGTTTGAAGGACGAAATCCCTTATCTAACGCCCCTCTTGTCAATTCACTCACCGAATAAGAGGTCTCAGGAGAAGCGTCAGGGGTAAAGACAATTCACTTTATGGAGAAGGATTTTCAGAATCTCATTTTGTAGACTGATGCATAAACACCACCCAACCTGTGGGATTAAAAGGCAGAGTCGGGCATGATTATGTTTTGCACGGAGTCAAACAGTAATAAGAAGTCACGATAATAGCAGCTGCCGCTTACTGAGCTAAATTAACTCGGATTCTCCAGTAGATTTATGAGTTTCCCTTTATGGATGAAGGAAACGGGGGCCCAGAGAGGCCATCTGACTTGCCCAAGGACACACAGCTGTTGGGCAGGGTCCAGGCTTCTGGACCCTCTTGTCTAAAGCCCCCTCCTCGTCACATCTTGAGCAAGCAGTCTGGTGCCTTTCAGCCCGGGGGAGGGGAAACACATTCAGAGACCGGGGACGACGATTAGACTTAATGAACACCCTCTTTGTGCCCGTTTCGGAGGCTAAGTGCTTTACTTAAGCCATCTCATCTGGCGTTAATGACAACTCTGGAAGTATTTCTATTATTTTCAGTCTACACCTAAGGGGCCTAAGGCTCAGATAGGTTCAGTAACTTTTCCAAGGTCACGCAGCCACGGAGTGAGAATACAGGATTCAAAACCCTGCGGTTGAACAGTAAGTCTACGAGTTTAGGCAACATGCTTCAGGGAGGGAAACAGAAAAGGGACCCCAGGCAGACAGGACGTATAAACAGAGGTTTAGATGCAGCTCAAATAGAGTCCGCATCCTGTATTCATTTCTTTTCAAAGCATGCATCAAAATGGCCGTTAAGTTCTTATTTGTGGAATTCTTTGTTCTGTGTTACCTGTTTACAGCTTGGTCTCTCCTCCTGTCTTAGGCCCAGTATCTGTAACAGAGGGTACACATATCAAAGCTCCACCAATATCTCGTTTTGCTTTTGGGTTGTTTGTTTTTTTGTTTTTTTGTTTTTTTTTTCCGGTTTGAGTCCATGAAGCAATCAATGGAAAGGCGAATGGCAAGTGCAGAGAGTCACAAACTTAGGGAGTTAGGAATCATTATCCCAAACTAGAAAAGCAGGCGCGTTCCCTTTTAAGCTTCCCAAATCTGATTTCATTCTTTCTACCAGAGCCTCGATTCTAGCTCGACTGTGATCCCTAGATCGCAAACTCTTCTACGTGTCCCCCACCAAGGAGGGAAACAGGACACAGTGGCTGCCTCTCACACACGCAGCTCCAACCTTGGGGATCGTGGGGTTTATCCAAGATCAGAGCAGAACTGTGAACTGTCAGTGAGTGACATCTTGGGAGTGTCATTCCTTTGATCAGTCCCTGGGATGTAGTCCTTGTCGGCCGGGGTCAGAGGGAGTTCTGCTCTGGGTCACTGTCATATTCCAATTCTTACCGACCTAGCTTCCCTCTCTGCTCAGGGCATCTCTGCCGTGTCGTCAGTCACCACGTGACCACGTAGGATGACCAAAGTCAACACGTTACGAGAAACCTGCCTTTAGGAATCCTACCTGGCCATGGGACATGGTGGTGCCTAGTCGGTAAGCCAAGGTTAACGGGATCCACACCTAGGATTCAAAGCTCAAGACCTTTAGTCCCAACTGGCTGCCTGCCTGAAAAGCTAACACTTCCTCCGTCTGCCACGTTAAAGAAACAAACGTCCCTGGAGGCACGCCTGCCTGCATCCACTTCTCCTTAGATTTTTCGAATCAAATGCACCCAGCTTCAAAATCTGGCTCTGGCTCTTTACAGACTTGGACAGCACTTCTCCAAGCCTTGTCTGCATGGGAATATTCATAGGACCTCCTCACGGTGTCGGGGCCCATATCCAACGAGATAAAGACTAGAAGGCGGTTAGTGCGATGGTTAAAAAAAATAGTCGTTCGATAACCCGTTGCCAGTAGTGATGGTTGGTATTACTCACATCCATTCATTTCTAGAAAGAGGTTTCCAAACTTCCCACAAAACAGAAATCTTCCCTCTCCCCTCATGGGTTTTTCTTCCCCAAAACGACATGGAAATTCCAGCCAAGACAAAAAATGGTAGAAGGGCTCCAAGCTAGAGTAGTAGTTTACTTCTTAGGTCGCCCTGTTTCTACTGGGGCCATACTGGAGAAGCTTGGTAATGCCTAACGCAAAGAGAAGTACAGCACAGACCCACCTTCCAAATGGCATCCCTGAGTTTCATTTTGTGAAGTGCACTTTGTATCTCTTTCCTCAGCTCCGTCTCCTAGCGATCGGCTGTGTTTTTCAGGTCTGGTTTTTCTGGATACATCCCACCCACCCCACATTTTTGTCAGCGTGAAGATCAAGGGGACAAAGACAAATTCAATTAAGCGGCAGGCTTTGGTGACCAGCAGCTATCTTTCTGGAGGAACTGAATGCAAGCGGCTCAGGGGTGGGGTCGCGTATGCATCGTGCTCCTGAAAGGAAAGGAGGCAGCATTTGAGTATAAATCACGCGACAAACGGAGCTCTCCTCCTGTATTAATCTTTTATTCGGAAACAGGCACTGTTTTAAGGGGAAATTAAAGGCCATCAATGAGCAGGCTTGCCTGGGCGGCTTCTGAGCTCGAGATGCAAATATTATTCCCAATTCTAGATTCCGAAGCGATCCCTCCATTGATATGTTAATAGCCTCCTCGTGTTTCTCTGACCTCAAATCCTGGAAGGGGGGGGAAGCTATACTTACAGGAAACAAAAGAAAAGTGCGTGGTAGAATAAACATTTGCTAAGTGGACTTTGACTGCAAACCCCAACTTGTCATGTGTTAACGATGGAATCCTCTCCGAGCCAGCCCTCTACTGACGCCCTGAATGTTTAATATGTGTCTATGTCCAAGGAGCTGCCATGACTGATCCTTTCTCTGGTGTCACCTGACATTTCAGCTTCCCACTCATGCTGCACAAGACGACAAATGCTTTGGTGCTGTCACGCCAAGGAAGGCAACCCTTGGCAACCGGAAATAAGCAAGATTCAGCTGCCTATAAATCAAAGGTGATCGCAACCCAAAGTGGGTCACCTATGTGTAAACTCACAGAGTCAAAAACAAAGTCAGAGATTATTTATTTAGCACCTGCTGTACGCAAGACATTGTGCCGGGATCCTGGGGATACGCAAACATGTTTGACAAGGAGCTTACGTTTTTAGGGCAAATGGGCAATAAACAATTTAAAAGGTAAAGATAGATCAGGTTGTGGCGATGCTATGAAAAGCGAAAGCAGATAATGAAAAAGAAGGGGCTGGGAGAAGGCATCTGGAGAAATTATGAGCGTACAGAAATTCAAGGAGGCCCCGGCCACTGATACGTGGTCTGCAGGACTAGCATTCCAAGCAGAGGGACGGTACGTGCAAGGGTCCTGAGGTAGGAAAGGGCTTGTATGTGAGCGTCAGAAAGTCTCCTGTGGCACCTAGACGGTGGTACATGGGATTATGTCACAACACCGCGTAGGAGCGAGATTATGCGAGGCCTTGTAGCTAATACAACTTTCTAAAAAAGTAAATGTCATCATCAAAAATTCATGTCTTCCTATCAGCAGAGGGAAGACTCTCAAAGGGTAAGCAAACATGTACTTTTAAAGGATTCAGATATACTAATGTTTACTAATTTACCATATTCTTACATTACATATGGTAAATTCTAGAACCACATGTCTGATCTCTGTTCACCAGAGTTGAGGCTTCTAGCTAATGTGCTTTTTAAGATCTAAATTCAAGTAGAGGCTGACCTAATAGGCTGTGTTTCTTATCTTTTACATGAAAGGAGTTTATAATATTTCCCGAGAGTGCCTCTCCAAGTGAGCTAATCATCTGCGATGTGAGGTTAAATCTGTCATGAAAATGGACTTTGTAGTCGATGTCTGTACTCTGTTAAAAGTTTCCTACAACAAAAGGCGCCTGGGTGGCTCAGTCAGTTAAGTGTCCTACTTCGGCTCAGGTCGTGATCTCATGGTTCATGGGTTCAAGCCCCATATTGGGCTCACTGCTGTCAGCACAGAGCCCGCTTCGGATCCTCTGTCTCCCTCTATCTCTGCTCCTCCCCCACTTGTACTCTCTCTCTCTCTCTCCTTCTCTTAAAAATAAATCAACATGTAAAAAATTTTAAGATACAAAAAATAAAAGTTTTCTATGACAAAAACAATGAAAGCCCACCTACGTCGCAGCTTTATTTACAATAGCCAAGGCATGGCAGGAAGCAACCCAAGTGTCCATCGATAGACAAACGGACAAAGAAGATGTGGTAGATATATTCAACGGAATAGTAGACAGCCATCAAAAAGAATGAGATCGGGGCACCTGGGTGGCTCCGTCGGTTAAGCCTCCGACTTCGACTCAGGTCATGATCTCACTGTTTGTGAGTTTGAGCCCCGCATCCGGCTCTGTGCTGACAGCTCGGAGCCTGGAGTCTGCTTTGGCTTCTGTGTCTCCCTCTCTCTCTCTGCCCCTCCCCTGCTCGTGCTCTGCCTTTCTCTGTCTCTCAATAATAAATAAACGTTGAAAAAATTTTAATAAAAAAAAAATGAGATCTTGCCATCTGTGACAACGTGGAAAGGGGAGGGGGTGGGGAGATGGATAAAGCAAATGAAGGGAGGAAGACTATAATCTGCCAGGTACAAAAATAAATAAGACATGGGGATGTAATGTACAGCGTAAGGAATATAGTCAATAATATTGTAACAAGTTGTATGGTGACAGATCATAACTGGACTTACTGGGGTAATCATTCCATGATGTATGTGAATATTAACTCACTACATTCTACACCTGAAACTAATATTGTATTGTGTGTCAATTATTCTCCAATTAAAAAAAAAGTTTTCTCCAACACTGTATGTTAACTAACTGGAATTGAAATAAAAACTTTTTGTTTTAATGTTTATTTGTTTTTGAGAGAGAGACAGACAGACAGAGCATGAGTGGGGGAGGGCCAGAGAGAGAGACACAGAATCCAAAGCAGGCTCCAGGCTCCGAGCCATCAGTACAGAGCCTGACGCAGGGCAGGAACTCACAAACCACGAGATCATGACCTGAGCTGAAGTCAGATGCTTAACTGACTGAGCCACACAGGTGCCCCTGAAATAAAAACTTTTAAAAAGCTTTCTACGGGGGTGCCTGGGTAGCTTAGTCGGTTGAGCATCGGACTTCAGCTCAGGTCATGATCTTGAGGTTCCTGAGTTCGAGCCTTGGGTCGGTCTCTGTGCTGACAGCTCAGAGCCTGGAGCATGCTTCGGATTCTGTGTTTCCCTCTCTCTCTCTGCCCCTCCCCTGCTCGTGCTCTGTCTCTCTCTCAAAAATAAATAAACATTTAAAAAAAATGTTTAAATAAAAAAAAGAATTCTGGGGCGCCTGGGTGGCTCAGTCGGTTGAGCATCTGACTTTGGCTCAGGTCAGGATCTCACGGTCTGTGGGTTTGAGCCCCGCGTCCGGCTCTGTGCTGACAGCTCAGAGCCTGGAGCCTGCTTCTGATCCTGTGTCTCCCTCTCTCTCTGCCCCTCCCCCACTCTCACTCTGTCTCTCAAAAATAGATAAATATAAAAAAAATTTAAAAAAAAGAATTCTGAATAATATAAAGCAAACAAGATGGCAGGATAGCAGAACGGTTGAGAGGGCTAACTGCCATGCTCTTCTCCTGCTTTTGTGTCTCCTAGTTGTGTGGCCGCCCCCCCCCACCAACCCTCTACCCCCAACATTACTCTCTAAGCTTCAGGTTCATTACCCACAGAATGGGAACAAAACAATAGTTATTCGTAGGGTCATTTGATCAGTACTTGAGTTAATTTGTGGAAAGCACTGTGCTTGGCAATATTTTTTGCAAATATGAAGAGCCCACAGTAAGTGAATGTTGCAGGCACTGTGCTGAGTTAGGTACGAATGGTAACTCCCATTTACAGATGAGGAAACTGAGGTTTGGGGGTGTGAAGTATCTTGGCCACCGTCACATAGCTCAGATTCAAGTCTATCATTTTTTTTTTTAATTTGTTTTTATTTATTTATTTTTGAGAGAGAGAGAACCAGCGAGGGAGGAGCAGAGAGAGAGAGAGGGACAGAGGATCCACAGCGGGCTCCGCACTGACAGCAGACAACCCGGTGCAGGGCTCGAACTCATGAACTGTGAGATCACGGCCTGAGCTGAAGTTGGACACCTGACCGACTGAGCCACCCGGGCGCCCCCCATCATTGCTGATCTAGGAGGTTTTGCTCTTAGTATCCGTGCCATGGTTGGGTCCACGGATATTTCGATCTACACATTCACACGTAAGAAAACTAGTTTTCAAGGGTATTTCACAAAACTTGTGTAGTGATACATAGGAGTGCTTTGTTCTAATTCGTTTTGGTTTTACTCTGCCCATTTGTGTACAATTCCTTCCTTCCTTCCTTCCTCCCCTCCTCCTCTTCCCCTTTTCATCCTTTACTCTCCTGCTCTTTCTCTTTTTGCCCTGCGAGAAGGGTATATAATTCAATATTGTTTTTAACAATAAAGCTAAAAGGTATCACGTGGTTTGCCCCCCAAGGGACACTTGACAACTGGCTGTCATAATTGTGGGGACAGGGGTACCACTGGCATCCGGCAGGTAGGGACAAGGAATGCTGCTAAACACCCTACAGGTCACAAGACACCCCACAACGAAGGATCGTCTGTCCCAGAATGTCGATAGAAACCCTGCCATTGGGCAAAGCCCCTTTTGTAAGGGGGCAATTCTCTGCAAGGGCCTCCCTGGTTGCTGCTCTGTGGACCTTGAGATCACCACTCCACCCCCTCCCGAGGTCATCCAGAGACGTGCCATGGGACAGCAGTGCTACAGCCACAGACGGCCGGCCGGAAGGGGTGAGATGGAAAAAGAAACATACAGGGGCGCCTGGGTGGCTCGGTCGGTTGAACGTCTGACTTCGGCTCAGGTCATGATCTCACCCTTCGTGAGTTCGAACCCCGCGTGGGTCTCTGCGCTGACAGCTCGGAGCTTGGAGCCTGCTTCGGATTCTGTGTCTCCTTCTCTCTCTGCTCCTCCCTCTCTCATGTTCGGTCTGTCTGTCTCTCTCTTTCTCAAAAGTAAATAAACATTAAAAAAATTAAAAAAAAACACACACATAGAAATGTTTATTGAGGTCTCATACCAGGCTCTGAGCTAACTTCTTTACATCAGTATGTTGTTGTTTGTCGTTGTTGTTTTTAAGTAAGCTCTATGCCCAGCGTGGGGCTTGAACCCATCACTCCAGGACTAAGGGTCACATTCTCCACTGACTGAGCCAGCCAGGCACCCCCCCCCCCCTTCTTTAGATCAGTTTAATCAGTTATGAATTGATGTATCAATTATCCCCAGGACAACCCTGCAAAAAGTAGCTGCCTGTTTTCATGCCCATTTTGCAAATGAGGAAATGGAAGCACAGAGATGTTAAGTAACTTCCCAAGGTCACATAGCTGAGAATCAGGAATCTGGGGATTCTCACTCAGGCTGCCCGGACTCTTCATTTCCTCTTAACAAATGTGCTGTGAAAATCCCCAGATATTACCCTCTGAAGAGCAACCAAAATGGGCTGTCAGGACCGCCAATGTTTTCCAGCTGTTCTCCTCAGACTATTATCCAATTACATCAATTCCAAGCAGGGCCAGTGAATAATTTCTTCATTGCAAAATATTTGATCATCGGCCGGGCTATTTATTTTTCCTGCATTCACACCTGTTACCTACCTGTGACAGCCAGAGGTCCACAAGGAGTCCCCGCTCCGGAAGCATACACAGCTGACAGTAAAATCGTGATTCACTGGAAACCAACTGTATGAAGTTCACCTTTCTTTCTTCCTATTTTTGGCCCCTGGGCCCCATTTTTAGAAATCATGTAAATTAGGGGCACCTGGGTGGCTCAGTTGGTTCAGCCTCCAACTCCTGATCTCAGCCCAGGTCTCGAGGTCAGCGTCGTGAGTTCGAGCCTCCCGTGGGGCTCTGTGCTAAGCGTGAAGCCTACTTCAAAAAGAGAGAGAGAGAGAGATGGAGAGAAATACTAGGAAAATAACCTGGGGTTCAGAATTTGTCTTTAAACCACAACCAAGAAAACATCGCTTCGGGGAAGTCCTGAGGTTAGCGTTTAAGTGTGGCGCAAACCGTTGCAAGTTCTTTAGAGCTAATCTTAGGTCACCGGGTCCGGAGCTGTCGCCCAGGGCAGACCACCAATCACTCCAGAGAGACTCGATTATGCTCAGATGCTCGGAAAGGAAAGATTCGAAAAGGTTTTCAACCACAAGAGATGATGTGAAACAGGTTTTCTGCATCTCCTGGAGCGGTGCCCCAAAGGCCAGCCCCCACGAGCTGACGCAAAGCCTGAGCAAGACGATTCATCGGGCAGCTTTCTTCCAGGAGTGGTATTTGAATTAGATCCCCTTGCCTACCTGTGCAGCCTCGGGTCCCCACAATACGGCTTGTCCCCATCACACCCACCGGTCACGTGAGCCTGCCGCTGTGCCTGAAATTGCTTGGCTCCTACCTGCCTG